GGGGGGCACGCTCAGGCTGGCAGCAGCCCGCCCAAGGCCTGGCGGAGGAGATCTCCCTTCCACCCTCTCCCAGCCCAGCAGAGCAAACTCCACCAGCAGCAGGCAGGGCAGAGAGGAAAGGGACCGGGGGGACAGGTCACCAGGATGCTATGGAGCATTTCTCGGATGAACATCTGCCCAGGTGTGCCCTATTCCCAGGGAGAGACCTGGGAAAGGGAGGTGCAATCCCCTATTTCAGGGGGACAAGATGCTCAGCATTGGGAATGGGATCCTGCACGGGCAGACGTCCCTCCCGCACACCCATCGCCCAGACACAACCCAGCTGCCCCGCACCGAGTGCCAGCATGCCACAACTAACCTGCCCGCTCCCTCGCTGCACGCTTGCAGACAGAAGACCACCACTCCAGATCACGCCCTGCCCGCAGCCACATCCAGCGCTGCCACGGAGCTCTGCCCGCAAGGGTTAAGCCATCCCGAGCCCCACCACGCGTCCTGGAGCAGGTTAGCAGCTCAGAGAGCACGGCCGGCCAAGCAGCTGTTGGAAAACACAAGCGGTGCTGCTGCTCCTCAAAAAGGCAGCCCGGTGAGCCGCTCAGCACCCGCTCCTCCAGTCGACAAGGTGCTGCTCCAACCCAGCCTCTCCTGCATCACCATCCGCCTGCGGAGAAACACGCCAAGAAGGGAAAGGAACGGCCCAGGCGTAACAGAAGAGGGCACCTGCGCGCACCCCACGGCCCCCGCAGAGTCCTACCCGCCAGCCTGGGGTCCGGCTCCTGCCTCCCGCCTGATTTCAAATCCGCAGCGTGTTCATTATGTTTGGGTTGGTTTTTTTTTTAAAAATATACTTTCTTAATAATGTTCCATAAAAATACTCTTGTCCCCGGTGACGGATATTGCAGTGTGAAGAGTAACAGCTTCTGTTCCCGCTCTATAAAATGTGGAAAAGGCATCACGCCAATTAACGTAGAAAAATGCAAGAACTCAGTATCACAAGAGCTGGTACAAAACGAGCAAGGCGAGAGTTTCACTGGACGCCAGATGCCATCCCCACGGACTCCTCCGAACCCACTGCCGTCACGGGGCACATGAGGGCAACTGTCTCGCGCCGGGATTCAGCAGTAGCAGGCAAAGGAGGCAGCTCCGGCCTGCAGCATGGGGGACGGGACAGATGGACGTCTCTGGAAATAGCCTTGTAGGGTTTAAAAAAAGATGCTCCGTGCCATTTTCTTCCTTTTCAAAAAGGACGTGGATGATTGCAGTTTCAAACTAGGGCATTTCTGCATAAAATGCATCATAGTTTTACGTACCTATTCAATTGCAACAGAGAGCATGAAGACAGATGGTGCCAAAAAGCATCTAATAATAAATAGATCTGGATACAGGTATATACTCCGTATATGGATGTGAAACGCCTAACCGAGGAACGATCCCAGCCCTTCAGCGCTGATTCCTCTCTCCTCCCAGCAGCGGACATCTCTGCTCACCCACCGGTCCAGCACAACGCTAAAGAGACTCCACCTTCTTAAACAAGGTGGGATTTGCCCAGAGAGGAGAGGGAAGAGAGGCAGCAGCAGGTCTCCGGGGGTGCTGAGGGGGTTGACAAGCTCCATGCCTTCCCGGTAGGAAGGCTGAGTGTGCAAAAGGAGACAGGGTGTGATGGGGGTCCGAACCGATGCTCTGCAGTCACTCTCAGTTCTCGGAGAGCGACAGTGCCAAGGCAGCCTGCAATGCTGCCTCCTCGTCGATGTTATAGTCCTAAAAAAAGAGAGGGGCAGTCAGGAGAGTTGGCACGGCCGGGCCACACAGCCTCCATCAAGCAGGAGAGGTGGCCACGGCAAGGAGCCCTTCCTGCTCCTTATCATCCCCCCAAGGCTGCGAGCCTCCATCTCCTCTGGCAAACAGGTTCCAGCAATGCCATGCTTTTTGGGGTGTCCTTTGTGCCCACAGTCCCTCTCCTGCCTGGAACCTGCCAATGTCAGCCCTGCTCTGAGACCTGGCACCAGGCAGGGATCAAATATGCCCATGCAAGAAGCTGTGGCCAAAGGGGAAAGCTTTCTAGCAAGGCCACGGGCTTCTCCAGCGCTCCAGTTTGGGTTTATGCAACACAGCCATCACTCCCTAAGTGGGGATATTTCTCTGTAAATAGTTGCAGGCTCCTTTCCCTGAAATCTAGCATCCCTGCAATAAAAGCAGGACGCTAGTAAAACCTCTCCTCGGTCCCTGCAGCCAAGGCTGGGTGATCACACCCTTACCCCCACACAGGAGGGGTCAGCAACCCCCTGAGACAGGGGTCATGGACACCCCCCACGTGCAGCAGCCAGACCCCCCCAAGCCCCGCGGCTGGGCTGCTCCCCTCCCACTACTTGTGAAGCCTCAAAGAAAAGAGCTTTTGTGTTACAGTTCCTCAGGGGAAGAGTTTAATGGAGCATGTGGAGGAAACAACTCCTCTTCACTGAGAGCGGTAACATTTCCCTCTCCTCCTTCAGAGATGTTTTCCTGGTGTGCCTGATGACAACCAGCTCGAGCTCGACCCCCCCATGGCGGTCTCCCGAGTGGGGCTACACATGTGCCGTATGCCTCCCGCAAAGCCCAAAGGAGGGTCCGTCCCCTTCCCCTCCCGAGGGGCTGCCCAGCAGGACGGGCTGGTCCTGGCACGGGAAGGGAAGTTTCATCCCCCAGCCGCTCGGCGCAGGACGCGGGGAAGACGACTCCGTTTCGGCTCAGGGCCGTACTCACCACGAAGGTGTCGTAGGAGAATTTGTGCCTGTGGAGGAGGTGCTGGAGGAAGTTGGCACTCTTGTAGCTGGGGTCCCCCCAGGGCATGGCTGAGCAGACTGGGCACACCTGCAGCGGGCAGGGACAAAGGGGAACTGTGACTCATGGGCACAGACCCCTCTGCCTCCATCTCCCCGGGGGGGCCGGTGGGGCTTCCAGAGGGTGTCCTGCAGAAGATATGCTAAACACGGGGCCCTCCCACCCTGCCAAGCAGATCCCTCGGTGCACACGTGGCCCAGGCTGCTTTTAGCCCGCTGACAAGTTACTCGCTCATGCACAAGCGCCTCTGAGACGGGGCCAAAGCTGCAAGTTCCCCACCTTGGTCGACCCAGGGGGGATGGGGAGAGGAAGTCCTGCACCACCCGGCTCGCAGGCACAGGGGGATGTAGGCAACTCGTTCCAGAGAGCCTCTAGCAAAGCAAACACAGGCAGGTCCCCACCTCCTGTCAAAGGGATTTAAAACAAACTAAATGAGCTGGAAATACAGCTGTACATTATGTGCAGCAGCAGCTCTGTGTGCCGGTGGCCTCGGATGCAGCGTCAGCTACGGTCTATTTGGATTTCCAGGAGTTAACCCGCACGGAACCAGCCCGCCCCAGCATCGCTCACCACTTTGTTGGGGTCATTGCGGTGGTTCTCCATGCAGTGCTTCACCAGCTCCTGCTGGTCCAGGTTCCGGGCCCCACAATACGGGCACACGAACGTCGACCGATTGGGAATATTACTAAAGAGCACAAGGATGAGCTCAGATCCCCAGGGAAGGGACTGGATTGACTCCTTCCAAACTAACCACCTGCTCAGCTTTGTGATACCCACCCGCAGCAGAAACCAGACCAGCCCGTTCCCACTCCAGCCGCAGGCTGAACCACCCTGGCTTGGTTGGTCTTTCCTCCCACACCATGCTCTGAAACACAGGGCAGTGCAGGGGCTGCAGATGCCAGCAAGGAAAAGGTGCTGATGTTTCTCCCTGTGATTGCCCAGGGGAAAGTAAAACACATGCTTGGATTTTAGGGTTTGTAAGGGAGCGGAGTGCCGGTGCAGTCTGCAAGGAGGGACACGTTTCCCCACCCAAACGCGCGGCAGTACCTGGGAATAGGCTGGGACGTGGGGACAACTGGAACGAACTTGGGGCAGTTGGCCATCTGCTCCTGCACCTTCGCGCAGGACGAGACGTGAGAGCGCATTTTTGCGAGGGTCACCTGGAGAACAACAAGAGAAGAAATGTTCCCGAAGGCTGCAGGAACACCTTCCAGACGCAGCGCTGGAGCCTCCGCTACAGCTCAGGAGAGCAGTTTTGGTCAACCGACATCAGGGCGAACACTGGTCTGCGCACGATGACCCACACCAGCGTGGAAACGCTGCACCAGCCCGTCCCTCCTCACAGGACAGAGATTTGGGGCTGCATGCTTGCTGCACATGTCCCCAGAGGTCACTCAGGCTGCTTTATTGTAGCACTAGCTTCATTTTTCTTGTGAAAGAGGAACTGCTGACAGGCGGAAACCCCAAACTGCTCTGACACCGCAAGGGATTGTTCCTGGGCCGCAGTCAGGGAGTTACAAGATCCCCAAAGTTAACAGAAGCCAGAAAACGCATCAACGGGGATGCACCATGAATCACAGCTTTACAGCCAGTCCCTGAAGCATCCCAGACCAGATTGCTCCAGGCTGGGCCAGGCCACACTCCCAGTTCAGCTTCCCCGCGGCCGTCGGGATCACAGCACCTTAAGCAAGACCTAAATCCTTACCCTCGTTAGGAGCAGCAGCAGAGCTGGTTTGTCTCAGCCTCTCCCTGCTTTTGAAGGTCCCCATTGTCTAATAATAGCTCCAGTCTGCTGACAAAGGCAGCTAAGAGAGAGTGCCTTCACCTCCTTTTGGCGCGCGGCAGCAGCCGTGACACATAGGGGACACCGCACCTCGCAGGCGCAGTTTGGGGACCCGCTGAACAGGGGACTCTGCAAACCCAGCTATGGAAAGCAAGCAACCTCCCTCCCCCAGCGCCACGGCTGCAGGATCGGGAGCCGAATGAAGCCGGGCCCGCACGGGACGGGGACAGGCAGCTTTCCCCCGCGAGCTTTACCTTCTTGCTGCAGCCTCTGCAGGGAGCTTTGTAGGACGAAAGCTGTTTCTCCACACTGGAAGCCTTCTCCACTTTCTTGGGGTCGAAGGGCATGCGGCAGAGCGGGCAGAGGGGGGACGGCACTTGGAGGCAGGGCTGTAGGCACTCCAGGCACTCCCCGCAAAATCTGGGGGCACAGAGAGCAGCGTTGAGTGGCCCGGTGGCAGCCCAGCCCAGGAGGAGGAGGAGGGGGAAGCAGGACCCCAGCCCGGGGGCACACCCGCTCCTGGGGACTTCTGTGTACCCCAGCCCGCAGG